TCTCCTCTCCCACTCCCCCTGCTTGCTTTCCCCTCTCTTGCTGTGTCTCTCTCTGTCAAATACATACGTAAGATCTTAAAAAATAAAAAATAAGAAAATAGAATAAAATAAAATAAAATAAAAAAATTATCTCATTCTGTTTGTTAATTTCCATCCTGGTGGCCACCACCCAGGTTCATATCCCTGTGCCCTTATTCCTGGACTATCTGCTCACTGGTCTATCAACTTCACCCTTTCCAAGTAATCATGCCAATTCCACCCTCCACATTCAGTGAACTGTATGATTCTGAAATCTTCAAGGGTTTTCACTGCCAATGTGAAAAACATTCTTCATAATATGACCTTAACCAATTTAGTCTTCTCTCTAGTTACCACTCCATTCTCTACCTCCCTTAACTGCAAAAATACTTTTTGGAAGTTTTCCACATTACCTGTTCTCACTTTCTTCCCTCCCATTCTCTCTTCAATACATTCCAATACAGCTTTATCCCCACTCCTCCTCTGAAATGACTTTCATGTGGCTAAACTCAATAACCAGTCCTCTAGTCTCTTCTTATATAAAGTCTCAAGCATCTGATGCAGGCGAACACTCTCTCTTGAAAAACATTTTCCCCTTGATTTCCACGTACAACGCCATTCAGGATAAAACCTGTATGGGTTGTTTTTACTATGTAAAATGTAAATGACGGTCTAGATTCAAAAGGCTATTGTAAAGGTCAAATGACTCAGCAGACTGCACTCTTAACTCCTATTTGTATTTTGAGATTCTAGAGAAGTGCTTAGGATATAAATGGTGCTCAGTAATGTTTAATGAACAAAAGGAGATCAATCCGTTCTGTCTTCTACTTCTCCCCTACTGGCAACCAGCACAACTCAAGAGATCATGGGACCTCACTCACTGAGGTTTCTCCCTCTGCCTCAAGGCTCCTTCTAATCTGTTGTCCTATCTGGTTAGTTTCCTTTTCAAATCTTGCTTCTCTCTCTCTCCCTCCCTCTTTCTGCTCTGCTCTGTCTCTACCCTGCCTCAGTCAGCATCTTCGCCATTTCTCATGTGTTTTTCCTTCTACTGATAATAGACTTTTTGGTTGATTTTAGGTTTTTTACTGCTATGAAATGTGCTATTATTATGTGGCTGTGAACAATCTTATGCATGTATCTTGATGCACAGACACACATTCCTATTTCCAAATTAATTGTGCCAATTTATACCCTCCCAGCAACATGTGAGATTTCTAGTTATTCCACATTCTTGCCAATTCTTAACTATTTTCTTTTTAAAAATATTTTAGCCATTCTGCTAGACATGAAATGTTATCTCACTGTGGTTTTAATTTGCATTTCTTTCTCTGATTAATGAGGCTGGGCCCTTTTCACACCTGTATTGGCAATGTGGATATATCTCCTTTGTGAAGCCTTTGTTCTTTTACTTTTGATTCATAAGAAGTTCACTTTATATTCTGGACACAAGCCCTTCATTGACTTTCTGTATGGCAATAAAATCCTCCAGTTTAAAGCTTGTCTTTTCTTTTTCTTAATGTTATCTTTTCTCTTTCTCTTTCTTAAGGTTATCTTTTGATGGACCTAAGTTCTTCATTTTAACGTTTTCCAACTTATCAGTATTTTCCTTTAGGGGCCTCCGGGTGGCACAGTCGGCTGAGCGCCCAACTTGGTTTCAGCTCAGGTCGTGATCTCGTGGTTGTGAGTTTGAGGCCTATGTCAGGCTCCGTGCTGAGCTGCTTAAGCCTCTCTCAGCCCCACCACCTCCTTCTCAAATAAATTCATCTTTAGAAACTTTTTTCCCTTTATTTTATATCCCATTTAATATTTATTTTTCTGCTCTGAATAAGTTATCTAATGTTATCTAAATTTAAAAAAAATCTCTTATACGAAGACTAATGTCTTATATGAAGACTATAAGGTCTTACATAAAGACATACGAGACTAATCTCTTCTATGAAGACAAATATAACTAAGGGAATACTGATTTTATGTTATATGGGATAAGAATCAAGATTCTATTTTGGGGGGCACTATATATCTAAATATTCCTTTATCTTATGCTCTATGATTTGAGGTATTGAGATGTATGGGTCTTTTTTCCTATAATCTTTATTTTCTACGTTGTCTATTCATCTGTCCTTGCACATATACCTTAACCTGTCTTGGGCAAATCTTGGCCCTTTGAATTTCCAACATAAACTTTAGAATCATCTTCTCAAATTTCACCAAACAGTTGTTGGAATTGTGACTGTAGTGTACTAATTTTATAGATCATGCTCTATTGAGATGACATCTGTATGATTTTTAATCTCATAATCCATGAAATGGTATGTATCATTAACCTTTACTTTAGGTCACTTTTAACCTCAATAATATTTTCTTTTTTTTTTTTTAATTTTCTAATTTTCTGTGATGAATTCTTGAACACCTTTTATTTGATGCAAAATATTGGGATGCAATATGCAAAATATTATAAATGGTATTGTTTCTAAAATTAACTTTCATTTTTTTACCTTGCTTTATAGAAATACAATTGATTCTTATCTATGGATCTTAAATTGCAAATTTTTAAACTCTTTAAATCTAAAAACTCATCTGTAGAACTTTCGGGATTTTTCACACAGTCACATGCAAATAATGACATTTAAAATTTTCTTTCCAATCTGTCACCAATTGTTTTCATTTTCTTGCCTTACTAGATTGGCTAAGACTTTCAGTACATTGTTGAATATAAGTGGTAACTGTGGGGATAAGTGTGGGAATCCTTGATCTAACCTCAAAGGGAATGACTTCAACATTTCACCGTATTTTGTAGGTTTTTTATAGATAAACTTGCATCAGAATAAGAAATTTCCCCTCCGGGGCGCCTGGGTGGCTCAGTGGGTTAAGTCGCTGCCTTCGGCTCAGGTCATGATCTCAGGGTCCTGGGATCAAGCCCCGAGTCGGGCTCTCTGCTCAGTAGGGAGCCTGCTTCCCTCTCTCTCTCTCTCTCTCTGCCTGCCTCTCTGTCTACTTGTGATCTCTCTCTGTCAAATAAATAAATAAAATCTTAAAAAAAAAAAGAAATTTGCCCTCCATTTTTAGTACTATTAGTATGCTACACAATAAAGATACTTCCCTTTGCTGTTTTTAATTTTTTTAAAAATTTTATTTATTTGAGAGAGGGCGAGAACACCGGGGGGGGGGGCAGAGAGGGAGGGAGAAGCAGACTCCCTGCTGAGTGGGAGTCCTATGTGTAGCTCCAACCCAGGATCCTGAGATCATGACCTGAGCAGATGCTTAACCATCTGAGCCACCCAAGCACTCTCCACTGCTGTTTTTATAGTTATTTTCCTTTCCTTGGTTTTCAGCAATTTTTTTATAAAGTGTGTTTATTACTATCATTGCTATTATTATTTTACATGTAGTTTGTAACAATTCTCAAATTTGCAGCTTGATATCTTTCATGAGATTTGGCAAATTCTCAATGATTAGTTTGTTCAAACGTTGCTTCTGCCCCATTCATCTCATACATGCTTCCTAGGACTTCAATTATATATAGGTTAGACCTTCTCATGGTATCTTCTTTGTATTTTACCTTCTCGTCACTACTTTTCATCACTTCATGTCTCCATGTTTTATCCTGGGTATTTTCTTCCAGAACTTTCAGTTTGGTAATTTTCTGTTCAGTTGTGCTTTGTTTCTTATTATTTTACCTATTGAGTTTTAAATATTTGTTATACTTTTCATTTTAGAGTATCTTTTGGTTCTTTTTCAAATTTACATCCTTCATAGTTTCCAGGTCTTTGCCAAAATTAAAAAATCTTGTCTTTTACCATTTTAAACCTATTAAGCACAGTTTTCTAAGTCTCTAGCTATTAACTTCAACAGCTAGAGTTCCCATGAACTTATTATTATTTTTATTTTTTTTTTGAACTTATTATTTTTTTGTTTCTGCTGGTTCTTGTTTATGTTATTTTGTCTCTTTATGTGCTTGGTTCTTTTAAAATTCTGTTTAACATTACATCTGCAAGATTAATTAATTTGTGGGCTAAGACAGTGTTTTCATTCTCCAGAGAGAGAATTTCACTCTCTTTTTTTCTGCCAGCACCTAAAGGCAACAGCAATCCAAAACACCCTGATCCAAATTCAGGGACTATGATAATGCCTTCTTTTTTTTTTTTTTTTTAAATATGCTTCTGAGACATAATTCACATACCATAAAATTCACCGTTTATAGTGTACAATTCAAGAGTTTTTAGAATATTCATGGAGTTCTGTAACCTTTACCACTCTCTAAATTTAGAACATTCTCATCACTCCAGGAAGAAACTTCATACCAATTAGTACTCACTCTCCATTCTCTGCCCAACTCTAGGCAACCATTCATCTACTTTTGGCCTCCATAATTTTGCATCTTCTAGACATTCCATACAAAACGAATCATACAATACATGGCATTTTGTGAATGAATTTTTTCATTTAGCATAATGTTTTCAAGGTTCACCCATGTTGTAGCAGGCATCAGTACTACATTTTTTATTGCTGAATAACATTCCATTGTATGGATATACCACTTGTTTATCCACTCATCAGCTTATGTACTTTGGATTATTTCCACCTTTAATTATTATAAATATTACTACTATGAATCTGTGTTGAAGTTTCTATGTGAATATATGTTTTAATCTCTCTTGGGTATATGAATTATTAGGTCATATGGCAACTCTATGCTTAACATTTTAAGGAACTGCCAACCTATTTTCAAAGTGAATGGATTCTGGGCTGTTTCTCTAAGTGGCAGTCAGTGAAGCTCTCCAACTGTCCAATCCAAAGCCATGATAGTTTACGAGGTACCCTTTTTGCTGGGCCCTGGATCCCAACTTTTTTATTATTATACCTCCAACAATGTCATAAGTACTGCATCATCTCTTAGCATCTCAGCTACCACTTCTAAAATTAGAAACTGACTTAGTCCATTCAGGCTGCTATAACAGAGTATCATACTCTGGGTGACTTACATGCCAGTTTTAAAAGCTGAAGTCCGAGATCAAGGTGGGAAGAAATTCAGTGTTAAGAGCCCCCTTCCTTGTTTAGTCTTCTGGCTATAACCTCACATGTCAGGAAGGGTCACAGAGCTCTGTGGGGCCTCTTTTATAAGGGCACTGATCCCATTCATGATGGTTCCATTATCATGATGTAATCCTCTCTGGAAGGCCCCACTTCCAAGCAGTATCACGAGGATTAGGTTTCAACATGAATCTGCGGGGAGATGCAAACATTCAGCCTATGGCAGAAATATTCCCAGGGGAAAAACACCACCAATTCCATGCTCAGCTCTCTATTTTCCTTTCTTCTCTCCATTCTCGCCTGATAATTATTCTCTACCTTGTTACATCTTTTATGCCTCCAAGTAGATTTTTTTATTGTAAATTTTACTTAGACTTTCTGGTTTTCTCAGAGTTTGATTTGAATCACCTGGTCTATTACTATTGATACTAGAGGTCCTGCAGTTATTTCTTTAGTTGTCAGTTTGCCCCAACTCCACTGCAAATTCCTTGAGGGAAAGGACGGTGTCTTGGTCATTTCTGCAGCACCAGATCTAGTCGGCAAGCAGATGCTTTATAAATGTTTGTTATCAGTCTAGGTTATTGCTTTTAAGTATGAAACGGATTCTAAGTGATCTAAGCTGCTCCATCTGGGAAAGCCAGAGAGCCAAGCATAATGACCACGAAGCCAGAGCACACCTAGCTCCACAGATGGTCCAGGGTAGACATGGCCACTGCTGCTGATAGGCCCAGATATAGCAGCTTGTATGATGGACACCACCAACACTGGACCCTGGGCACTGACACCTCCGCTTCTCAATAAGGCAGTGGTATTGCTGCTCCTGAACAGGAAGATCCACAGGAAAAGGGATGGAAATAAAGAGTGGGGAAAGCCAAGGAGGGGGAGGTACAACAAGGGCATCATGTTTTAGAGAAAACTGGTTTTGTAAAGGAATTGATAAGAAAATTCAATCTACGGGGCGCCTGGGTGGCTCAGTGGGTTAAGCTGCTGCCTTCGGCTCAGGTCATGATCTCAGAGTCCTGGGATCGAGCCCCGCATCGGGCTCTCTGCTCTCTAGGGGAGCCTGCTTCCTCCTCTCTCTCTGCCTGCCTCTCTGCCTACTTGTGATCTCTCTGTCAAATAAATAAATAAAATCTTTAAAAAAAAAAAAAAAAAAAGAAAATTCAATCTATTTTCAGTATTTCAAAAATCGAAGTAAAAATCCTGTAGAACCAGAGAATAGGTTTCTTGATTCCCAGGATCATTCCAAAGTGAATTTTTACGTTTCCAAAGACTGAGTAGATGACACAAATGAATACAATCATCCAGAAAGATAAATTCCACTGTCACCACCCTACCTCTCCTCTTCTTTGCCCTGGCATGCCCTGCTTGAGAAGACTATGATCCATTTCACAAACTCCTCTTTTCCAGAATCCCCAAATTCCTTCCCTGTCATCATGTTCTGAGCAATTTAAATTTCACTGCTTTTCAAAAGGATTTCCTCAGAAGCTGCTATGTGAGCCAAGGGTCTCAACAACTTCTAGGTCAATGCCTTTCAAGAAGAACTAGAGATTTGTTAATAAAACCATTATATTTCTCACCTCCTTATATATACAGTGTTTACAAGAGTGTTTCTTCAGAAGCATGGGGTTCCTGAGGGACTGTCATCTGGCTTTCAGCTATCCTGCCCACAGTGTGCCAATTCCAAAAGTAAGGAGTAACTCTGTAGAGGCAGGCCTAGGAAGGTCTGAATTTGCACAAAGGACTGTTTTTTAAAAATACATTTTGCTATTCAACAGAAGGTCCGTATGCAGTATCCCAAAGGCAGGTGACTACTTCATCTCATTTCTTAACTGCATTTTATGAGATTCCTAGACAGTCTGTCATCTTCTTTTCCCCTGTTTAGCATCTTCCTATATTTGTTTGTTGTATTACATTCAGGGATTTCAGTTGTTAAGAGGGAGCACTAAGGGATACTTATATTCCATCTTGGCCAGAACTACAAGTCCTCTACTCATACATTTTTAAAGTGATGGGTATCATTCTAACATATAGATATACATACATAAATGTCAAAGTTTTATTTTAGACATATAAATTACCTCATTTTTTCTTTCCTTCAAAATTACAAATAACATTATAAAGAACATCTGAATATTTACTTCAGAGGTGGAAATGTTAGGTCAAAGGAATACCCATTTTAAATTTTGATGAATTTATCAAATTCACATCAAACTTGTTAATACCAACAATGAATGAGTGTGCATATTCGTGCACATTTTCACTAATCATTTCACTAACTGTACATTAGCAAGTGTTTTAATCTTTGACAATCAAACAGGTAGAAAATACTATTTAAATTTTCACTGACTCGTATTTCTTTGGATATTATCAAATTTGAAAAGAATTTAAGTGTAAAGTGGTAACTTGTGGATAGTTTTAGATCATTATTTAATGATTTTAGTGAGTTGATATATATGCATAAGCTTGTTATTTGCTTTTCAAACATATTTAACATGTCTTAGTTTTTTAATGGAAGATTATGATGATGATGATATTATTTGTGAGATAGTTCTACATTTTTCCTATCATACTCAAATAGGACTCCTCCAAAATAATAAAACTCTCCTTGTGCTAAGCAGGATAACTCCCCACCACTCCCAAAGACATCCACATTTTAGTCACTGGAAACTGTGACTATATTATCATACAGAGCAAAAAGGAATTAAGGTTGCAGATAGAATTAAGGTAGCTAACAGTTAGATGATCCAGGCAATTACAATGGAGTCACCAAGGTCCTTAAAAGTGGGAAAGGGAGGCAAAAGAAAAGGTCAGAGTGATGTGATGAGATGTGAAAAGGACGCAACCCTCCACTGCCAGCTTTGCAGATGGAGGAAGGGGCCACAAGCCAAGAAATGCAGACAGCCTCCAGAAGCAGGAAAAGGCAAGAAAACAGATTTTCCCCAAAGACTCCAGAAAGGAGTCCTGCCCTGACAACAAACACCCTGATGTTAACCCAGTGACATGCCCATCAGACTTCAGACCTTCCGAACTGTAATAATAAATAAATAAATAAATAAATAAATAAATCTGTATTGTTTTAAGTCACTAAGTTTATAGTAATTTGTTACACAACAGTAAAAAACTAATGCAGACAGTAAAATGACACACAGATATTACCATAAAATGTGGACGTGGGACAGAGTCTGGGAAGCACTGTGTCCTGAGAGGATACTGACAGACACACAAACATCTAGAGCTGTAACTGCCGCTGACAAGCAGGGTTACCTAGGAGGTAGACAAAATGAGAAATGTCATTCATCGCTGAAACCTTCTTTTAACCTAACCACATTACAGCAAACTGAGCTTAATCAGACTGAGGCACCTTTCTCTATCTGGCCCTAGGGCCCACATTAGGAGACCACCAGAGCAATTCCAAAGACCTTGTGTTAAACTCAAAATTGCACCTGATTACCTATCAATATAATTTTAAATACATGACAGGAATGTTCTTCCTATGGCAAAAAGCACATGGGAGTGGTTATTCTTTGAATTTCTGGAAATAAAGCACTATAAAAAAGGATTGGTAATCTGCTAATGTGCGCTAGAGAAACTCCAGTAAATTGAAATTACATGTCTCACATCTAGATTACAGGGAGAAAGAAGGCACCCTGTTCTCTATTTTGTGATTAGTGATGAGGACTGAGAAGCCACACCCCTTTCCTCTTTATGAAGGCTGACTTACTAAAGGTAAGGAGCTGGGTAGACCCACCATTCCAGGTATTTAAAGTGGCAACTGTCATTTTTCCTGCATAGTGGTTACCTGGTCTAAAGATACATTTTTGTGTATAGCAGCCATGAACACTACTACAAAAGTAATAGGGAGGAAAGAAGGATGTGACACTCATATCACTGATCACTACAAAATAACAGAAAAAAAGTTCAGACTAGTTTATGAATATTGTTGTTCTTTGGGGGAAAAAACTACCACTGTGTATATATATAGTATACACATGTATTACATGTATCTGACAGATGATATTTTCTGAAGATATCATCCATCCCACATTCTCTTTTTTTTTTTTAAAGATTTTATTTATTTATTTGACAGAGAGAGATCACAAGCAGGCAGAGAGGCAGGCAGAGAGAGAGGAGGAAGCAGGCTCCCCGCTGAGCAGAAAGCCCGATGCGAGGCTCGATCCCAGGACCCTGAGATCATGACCTGAGCCAAAGGCAGCGGCTTAACCCACTGAGCCACCCAGGCGCCCCCATCCCACATTCTCTTATACCAGGTGACCTTGCCATTCTGCCATCAAGAGATGGAGTCTAATTCTTTTCTCCTTGAATCTGGGCTCAACTGGCCTTAGCGGTTGGCCTGTAACTAACAGAATGCAACAATAATGAACCTGGGTTACTTCCAAGTCTAGAGAGATATACAAGAAGAAAAAAGAAGCAGTAGTAGTAGAAGTAGTTTCTACCTGGCTCGCCTGGAACTCAGTCTCCAGATATTCTTTTTCTGAACACTCCCTTAGGAGAGTGTTCTATGCTATGAGAAGCATGGAGGGGCCACACGGAGGGACCATGAGTAGATATCATGACAGCCATTCCAGGGTAGAAGCAAAATATGTGCATGAAGAAGCCTCAGGATAATCCTAGACCCTGGGCATTCAAAGTTCCTGCCCAATGAGTAGGAAATATCAGAGTATGAGCAGGAATAGAAGACATAACTGAGGACTAAAGCAAAGTAGTAGGAATAGAATAGAGACATTTAAGAGACAAACTAAAGATCCTGGTGAATTCTGGCAGTGGGGGCTGAGGAGGGTGAAAATACATGTATATAGGTGAATATTATGTATAATATTGTAGAGTGAAGAACAAAGTTTGAAGAAGTCGTCAAGTGTGGTTTTGGACATGTAGAATTAGAAGTATGTAGGAGGGAGTGCTGAAAAATACAGATTAATGGACAGACCAAAAAAATCATGAAGGAAAATGAGAAAGGACTGCAACCTAACAAAAAAAGGAGGGGGAGGGAGCAGGGGTGGAGAAGAAAGCAAGCACAATGAGTTTATGAATGACAACATGGTTTTTAAAAAGCAGGAAGTCAGCATTGGTAGCGTATACTATAGAACAGTCAGGGTGGATAAAGATGAAAAAATATTAGATTTAGAAAGTAGTGGGTCACTGGGCAATTGAGGGAACAGATAGAGAAGCCGAAGCATCAAATTCATCATTTTTTCAAAGGCATTAGCTGAGAATATTACTAGTGTATCCCTGTTACTTTAAAACCCTCTTCTGAATGTTTTTCCATAAAGATTAGTACTATTTAGGGGCTCCTGGGTGGCTAGTGGGTTAAGCGTCTGCCTTCACTCAGGTCATGATCTCAGGGTCCTGGGATGGAGCCCTGCGTCGGGCTCTCTGCTCAGCGGGGGGCCTGCTTCCCTCTCTCTCTCTCTGCCTGCCTCTCTGCCTACTTGTGATCTCTCTGTCAAATAATAAATAAAATCTAAACAAAAAAGATTTTAACAAAAAAAAAGATTAGTAATATTTATCAGAAGATATAATCCACCTTGAAGACGTCATAGTAATTATGGGATATATATAACAACATGCTGTTTTTACAGAACATCGCTACAAGGAAAGACAGTGCATTACTTTATTCATTCTAGTAATTCTGCTGGGTTTAAGAGCGCCGAATCCAATATTTTCTGTCTGCCTCACAGGCCACCAGAAATAAATTTTACAGTCCCTCAAAAACACAGACCATTTTGTGTTTACAATTAAATGGCCTTTGTCCATGGTCTCATTAGTATAACTGGAGTTAATTCAGACTGGAAGGAGAGCCCAAAGCTTTATCCCAATTATTGTGTTTATGAACCAGACGGAGGACTGCAAAAGCAAACAACATGCCCAGGGTCACTAAGCAACTCAAAGGAGTTGCATGGATTCCAACTGAGGTCTAAATGGTTCCAAGACCTAATCCTCCCACCGCTGACGCCAAAGTCAACCTGCACTCCCCTGGGCAATGGAGCAAAATCCTCATTCTAAGGGCACTCAGTGTAGAAAGGAACACACGTAGAGAACACAGGAGTATCACGTGAGTGAGGTAGGCAAAAAGAGCTGTAAGAACACAAAGAGTAACACAGCGGTAAACCACTCTGGGAGTCCCTACCATTTGGAAGACGCTGTGCTGAACTCTTTATATATCCTTCGATCAACTATGTGAAATACGAATTAAGTCCATTTTACAAACTAGGAAACTGACGCACGGAGATGCCGAAAACCGCACAATGAAGTAACTACACTTCATCCCGGTGGCCGCAGTCCGCAGACTCTGTAACTACCCACACTTGGGTTAGAATCTGGCTCCGACGTCTGGTCATTTTGTTACCTCCTGCAAGGGTCACCCTCGACGAAGACCGCCTGAAGACCCCCAACCCACCGGCCACCCTCTGAGCGCCCGGGTCCCTGCCTTCCGCCCGGCGAGTCACAGATTCTCCGCATCACGACCCGCCCCTTCCAGAATCCCGCCCTCACACTTCTACCTCCGGTGTCTCTGCTCTCACCTCTCCATCACCAACAAGGGGACTCGGTCAGCGCGTGTGCAAACACGACTGAACTCTCCGACCCGCTTGGTCATCCCAACAGGGCCAGCGTGGCCTCCAGAAACTCAGCAGCTCAAGCTCTCGGGCGACGAGGACATCACACGCTCCTTGCCTTTCCGCGGTCCTCGCGGCCGCGGTCCTGCCTGATAGACTTCCGCCAGGCCAAAGCAATCAACCCATTGCGACATACTGCGCCTCCGCCCGGAAATTGAAGCGCCAACGCTTTGGTTCCGGCGCGTTGGCCGGCAATTGGGGTTTAGAGACTTGAATTGGGTTCGCTGTCCGCTGACATGGAAACCGAAACCCCCATTTTCTGGACTGACATCTTCTTAGAACATAGATACCTGCACAAAGATCCTTGTTAAAATCAGCTAAGAAAAAAAAAAATTATTTTGAAGCCGGTACTCAACGCTCTGTGCCTACTTGTGGGAAGGGGAGCTTTACAGCGTAATAAAAAAAAAAATTTTTTTTTAAGGTGCTATGAATGGTTAGGTCGAATGGTAATCAGTGTAATATCTTGTTATCATTGGACCTTTAATAGTAGTGCTTTTGCCGCCAGATGGCCTGTAATCCAGTCACTTATGAATCTATTTTCTACTCATTCAGTAACCCCAGCACCTTTTTGTGGTGTGCTAAAGGAACAAGGCTAAAGGAATACAGAGATGAAAAGATATTAAAGCTGGCAGCTAAACGGGCACACAAATGAACGTGTGCATTTGGTAGTTTAGGGGACAGCTGCCATTTGCCAGGGTGAGTCAGAGAAAACCTCACTTATCAAGCACTATCTGAGATGACATAATAGTACAGAGTGAAGGTAACATGGAGTAACATTTCCCATGCTATCCCTGAAATCTTCCCATCTGTATTTGCCTCTCTTGTCACTGAGAAGTCCCTGGTTTAATCTTACTATTTTCCCACCTATTAAAGTGTTCCTTAAGCCAGTCTCCAATGGTTTTAGGCTGCTCCACTAACAGTTACGTCTGTTAGAGTGGACTAGAGGGTCAAATATGGGTTGGAGGAGAGGAAAGAAACTTGATTGTGATTCCCAAGTCCATCTTTGACATTACTGGAAGTTACTGAAAAGATATAAATGAGGGTGGGGATTCTCCTGCCCTTGCCTATAGCCTTCATCCTGATTTTCTTAGCGTGCAATTTCAAGTCTTGTGTACTACAACTTTGAGGTCAAAGGCTGCCTTCCAGCCTCTCTACCCCACTGTTCACTCCATACTCCACCTAGAGGGAGACACCATTCCCCGAGTATTCTGTGAACTTTCATAAGTACAAAATGCACCTCCAGGGAAACCAGGTTTATGAAGCCTCCAGATTCTGCAGGCAGTGTTGTTCATTCCTCTGCAGAACTTCAGAAACTATGACTCATACATATCGCAAAGCACTTATCACAATATATTAATTAATGTATAAAGTCAGTGCCTTCACTATACAGTTGACCTTTGAACAACACAGGGTCTGGGGGTGCTGACCCCATGTTGTAAAAAATCTGCATGTATTTTTGACCCCCCCCAAAAAAACCCTTAATAGCCTGCTGTTAACTGGAAGCCTTACCAATGACATAAAGTCAATTAACACATATTTTGTATATGTATTATATACTGTATTCTTACAGTAAAATATTAAGAAAATATTTACAGTACCATACTATAAAAAATCAGCATATAAGTGGGCCCATACAGTGCAAACCCATGTTGTTCAAGGGTCAACATATATAAGGATATAAGCAACATGAAGAGGATAGTCTTATTGTTTGAATCTCCAACATCTATACAAGTCCCTAGTGTATGGCAAGTGCTTAATAAATGTTCATTTAGGGGTGCCTGTGTGGTTCAGTGGGTTAAAGCCTCTGCCTTCGGTTCAGGTCATGATCCCAGTGTCCTGGGATCAAGCCCCGCATCGGGCTCTCTGCCCAGTGGGGAGCCTGCTTCCTTCTCTCTCTGCCTGCCTCTCTGCCTACTTGTGATTTCTGTCAAATAAATAAATAAAATCTTTAAAATAAAATAAAAATAAATGTACATTGAATTAATGATGATGTAGATTATTTTAATAAAAGTCTTCTATGTTGGTGCCTTGATTAAGTTGGTGTTGTTAAGGATTTTTGTGACCTACTTTGTCTGTTCAAAGGCAATTTCTTCCCTGGTTTGGAAAAAAAAAAACAGCCAGTGTGGGCCAAAGCTGAGCTAAGGTTTTAGAGCTTCAGGCTCTGTACTTCCCAATAGAGGAGCCTGAAATATACCAAGTGGAGCCTGTTTAACATTTTTCATTCAATTAACATTTTTTTTTAGCATGTATTCACCTAGCATTGTTATAATTGTCAAAAACATTGTACCTGCTTTCAGGAGCTTGTATCCTCACCCACGTTCACAAATGGAGACATGCAGGCTTTATCGCCTTTAGAAAAAAGTAATTTCTACCCAACCCTTTAAACTGACAGTGACCAGGAGGATTTCTTCTACTGGTAGGTAGTCAGGATAACTAAATTGCAGCCCAGAATCGTCTACTAATCAGCTGTGTGACCTTGGGCAAGTCATCGTTTTTCTCTGGACTCCTCTTCCACTTCTGTAAAGTAAGGGTCTTATTCAATTTCACATTCTCTAACTCTGCCACTTTAATAAATGTAGACCCGGTATCAGTTGTAGGAAAGCTGAGGTTACTGAGGTTATAGCTGGGGTAAACTGATGATGAGCCTAGATTTTTTTCTAGTGAAGAGTAAGAGATACTATTTTCTGGGACCACATCAGAAACTGTGGCCTAAGCACATGGAATGGATTGGCACTTGGCTATCTATAGGTCTCTCCTCTTTATATACTAGAAGTTCAGAGACAGCTCATGGTAAAAGTGATTACCAGAGCAAACGGAAGGGAAAGGGGCAAATGGATGACAACCGTGGTGCTTCCTGCCTTCCTTGTTGGGAAAGGAAGGAAGGATAGAGGACAGAATGCTGCTCTTGGGGTCTTCACAATATTGTAAAGTCCAAGGAACTGCTCAGTAGACCCCTTTACAAGGGGTTTTTCAGGATGTTTTTCCTGTGTGCTTAAAAAGGGCCATACTCCAACGTACTTAGTTTGCTTATCCAGGCCCCCTCCCACAAAAATCACCACACAGGCCCTGAAGAATCTTCCTGCTGAGCCTTTGTTGGTGTAGAGCTGGATTTTCTGGGATTTGGATGTTTTCTCACATAGTATCCAGTGTACGATTTGGAGTTCTTTTCTTGTTCTCCCAATGCCTGAGGAAAACTTTGATTCACCCCAAAGAGACTTTCCAGGTCAAGAAAAATGTGATTTGCAAGGACATCATCCCTTCACAGCATAGGAGAAAACGTTGATATGGTGATATGATACAACCGGGCAACTTATGCTGAAGGCAGGCCTCAGAGACACCTCCCAGGGCCACTGTCCCAGATGGTGCCTTCCCAGTCAGACTCCCACCATGTGCAGATCACAGGTGCACCTGGGTGTGTGCACATGTGTGTCAGTAGGTTTGTGGAATGGCAGGTTCAGTGGACCGGCGGGAAGTGCTGGTTATTACTGCCTAGAGGCAGCTGATGCTCAGGAGCCCTGGTTTCTTGTGGTTAATCCACGATGGCAAGGAAAAAGGAGGCAAGAACAAATAGGAGAAAGCTGAGCACAAAGCATGAAGGCAAGGAAATAGCTGAAGAGTATAGAGCCCAGCTGGGTGGCAGCCCCTCAGAGCACCAGATGTGGAAGATTTTCTCATCTGTGGTTTGTTATGTGTCCCTGCTGTGGAACAGGGCTTATGTGGTTCTGTGGGCTAAAGGCATCAGTCAGATCTGGGGGAGGCAGCTCTGCACAAAGGGAATGCAGTAGCTGAGGTAGCTGAGGCGACTTAGGCAGCCTGGAATCTCCTGGCCCCACAGTACCTACAGGGGGAATGCAGAGAGAGAACAAGTCAGGATCCTGAGTATGGGACCTCCCATAGAGAGTGCAGCCCTACACCAGAGCTGGACTTATGAGGTGGAGGGCCCCAAATTCAGTCTTGTGTGGTCTTCGAACGCCCTCTGGTGGTGTTAGGCAGTAACTCTAAGGCTGTCTATTGGGAGCATCACAGACTAGTTATGCCTCTGAGCCCTTTTGTCCTTAAAGTCTAGTCTCCACTCTCACAGACTGAAGGAGATAAAAAATTCCACTGCAGGAATCTCTTTCTGTGTTTCCCCAACATTTTTTGAGACATCCAGCAGGTTAAGCACTGTTTAAGGGTCCAAAGGCAGAAAACCAGGGAAAAAAATGTTTAGTGAATTATATGAAGCAATGACTTTGGATGGAATGTCTATCATCTGTAAGCAAATTATTTTTCATCTACTAGTCAATGACAGTAACAGCCACTCTTTTATCACCCATCATCTTTGCCCCTTTCTCTACTGAGTGCCTTGTATACCTAGTCACTGAGGTTAACTGACACAGACAACTACAAAACTCCCAATTCACAAATGAGTTAACTGAGACTGAAGTGGGTTATGTAATCTATGTAGGATTACATGGCTTGTAATCTGACAAACTGACAAGATTCCAATTCAGGTTTATCAATTTGTGTGTTTTCCCACTGAACTTTGCTGTTTGCAGAAGAGACATATAAGATCATGCAGTTTTCCACACAGGATTAATTTCAATTAATAGATGGCTGGGCAATGTCATTAAAATACTATTTCAGATATGACATTTAAAAAATTTTATTTATCTTAAAGA